CCCCCCAACTCCTCCCCACCCCACCCCCCCACCTCGGCTGCAGTGGAGAAAAGCGTGTCCCAGACTGGCAGTGACCAAAAGATGCGCGGTGAGGGCGCGGATCCCTGCGTGCCAGGATTTGAGGAGTGACAGTGCAGGGCCAGGGCCTCATATGTCATGTGTAGCGATCCTGGGGACAACAGGCCTTTGTTTTTCATTTTTGCCAGTCCTGGGGCTTGAGGCACTGTCCCTGAGCCTCTCTGTGCTCAAGGCTGGCGCACTACCACTTGAGCCACAGCACCACTTCTGGCTTTTTCTGAGTAGCTTATTGGAGATAAGTCTCACGGACTTTTCTGCCTGGGCTGGCTTCGAACCGTGATCCTCACATCTCAGCCTCCTGAGTAGCTAGGCTTTGCAGGCGTGAGCCACTGACACTAGGCCCCAAAGACTTTCTCTTGCGTAGATGAGCAAACGAGGGCTTCAAGAAGTTACTAAGAATTTCTGGAATATTTTTAAAAGTGGTCCTATGCCAAGACCCAAGAGGATGACTTTTTTTTTTCTTTTAAACCGGGGCTTGAACGCAGGGACCTCACGATCACTGAGCTCACTTGCTCAAGACTGCTGCTCGGCCATGTGAACCAAATCTCCAGCTTAGTTTCTTGCTGGTAACTGAAGATGAGACACTGCCCCCAAACTGCTTTCAAACCTCAAGGAGGCTTACAGGTGTAAGCTGGCACCCAGCTGGTTTATACATAGTTTCAAAGGGTCTGAGATTTACAGTCTGTATCTCTGAGCACTACAGGAAGATCCCAGACCTGGGTACATGAAATCCAGTGAGGGTTTGGTCAAGCCTAATAAGAGTGCTAAAAACCACTAGAAAAAATGAATCAGTGTTGTACAGAAGGCTGTGCCCAACGAGAGGCCAATCCCTTGTAAGTGGCTACTGTTGACCTTCCTCTGGGTCTGAGTGCCTGACACAGTTCATATAGTTCGTTTTTCATTTGTGTGTGTTGTTTCTTTTTTCTTGGAGCTTGAACCCAGGGCACGGTCCCTGATATTTTGTTCTCAAGGTTAGCACTCTACCAGTTGAGCCACATCTCCACGTCCAGCTTTTTGATAGTTAATTGGGGATAAGAGTGTCGCAGACTTTCCTGCCCAGGCTGGCATCAAACAGCAATGGTGATCCTCATATCTCAACCTCCAGAGTAGCTAGGATCCCAGGTGTGAGCCACTGGTGCCTAGCAGATCAGGTTTTAGTTGTGCAGACAATTGCCTTCCTTCTCATGCTCAGCTCCTGACCTCTTCAGGGCAGTTGCACATACGCCTTTCTCTACTGAGAAAGCTCTTTTTCTCTTCATGTCTTAGAGCTTATCATCAGGGACTAGGGTTTATTTGGCTGGCTTGCTCAGATGGCACTATACCACTTGAATCACACTTCCAGCCTGGATTTTTGCTGGTTATTTTGCAGATGGAGTCTTTGGAACTTTTTTTTTTTTTGGTCATGGGGCTTGAACTCTGGGCCTGGGCGCTGTCCCTCAGCTCTTCAATTCATGGTGAGCACAAGGTCAAGCACCACTTGAGCCACAGCACCACTTCTGGTTTTCTGGTGGTTTCTTGGAGATAAGATTCTCATGGACTTTCCTGCCTGGGCTGGCTTTGAACCTAGATCTTCAGATCTCAGCTTCCTGAGTACCGAGGATGATAGGGGTGTGCCACCAGTGGCTGGCTATAATTTTCCCAATTCCCAATCACCTCAGTCATTTCTTGTTTGTCATTTTTGGTTTTTGGCTGTAAAACCCCACGCTTGGCCTCAGTCTTGGATGCCAGCTTCTCCTCCTGTATCCATCTTCACAAGGTTTCTTTCTATCTCTCCTCTTCTTCCAAAGACACTTGCTGCTTGTTAATTTCATTACATCTGATCCTGAACACTTATTTCCCAGCAAGGTCACATCTACAAGTACCAGGTGACAGGGCTTGGACAGCACCTTCTAGAGAAGGTAATTCCAACCATGGAACACCAAAGGGAGAATGTGGGTAAGTGATGATGGGAATGAAGATGTGAACAGCAGCTGGAAGCCTGGAAGTGGGGGTGAGGGGGTCCGTATTGTTGGACAAATCATCCGTCCTTCAAAACCCGGCGCAGCCCCTTTCTAGCTTGAAACAATGTTTCCAGACTCTCTGCAGACTATGAGATCTAATAGTTGCATTTGGGCTTCTGAGAACTAGACCGTAATTTAGTCCCTTTTAGTATGTTGGAGACTGTGGCAGCTAGCTACACC